CATGTGTGTTAGAAAATTGGTGGGGGTGACATATTTGAAAGGCTTTTTAATGCCAAGAGATTTAGCTATTTTTTCTTACCTCTAGGTGGAGCACAAGCAACCTGCAGTTTATTCTTATCATGAAACCACCCCTTCATCTTGTTCAGATCACACCGTTGTTCTGACTCAGGGTCTCTTGGGTGGTGGCAGACTTTTTTTCTCAACAATGCCTTGGGCGCAGGTGGGGAGAAGTTATGCCAGCAAACTCCCCCAATGACTCAGCACTTATGCTGGGATTCTGGTTCTTCCAGCAGATCCAAATAGTGAGGGAGACTTATGTCCTGGAAGCAGAGGGCCCTAGGCTTGACCCCACTTGGTGCCAGCATGCAGGCTGTGGGGTTAAGCCGGACTCCCAGCCTACCCAGGCTCCAGGTACCAGCACAGCTGCAAAACTCTCCAGCTCCGCATCTCTGGAGGGTTCTCACTTCCTCTGCTCCACCCTTCCTCTCACTTCTTTCGCCCTGAGCCTGTCGCTTCAATCAGGGAGGGAGAGAGAGACCCAAGATGATTCATCCCTTTTTGGTAGCAGCTGCTGGCCAAGGCTGGGGCGAGACCAGTCAGGGGGCACACAGTTTGCATGGAGGGAGGAAATCCCCACCCACCCGCACGCTGGCCCCCCCCACACACACACACACACACACATGTGTTGTGTCTGCCTTCAGGCCTGTGTGCAAACACAATTTACATCCCCCGACTTGTTTATGAGTGCTGGGCATAATTGGCTTGCCTCACGCAGCACCTCGGAGCCCTGTCCCACCTCCTCCCCGCTCCTCCCTTCTCTCCCCCTCACCCCCCCAACACTCCTCAAAAGAAATTAGAAACGTGACAACAAACTCTAGTTGTGGAAAACCCACAAACCCACCACCAATCATGTGCCTGGCATGGCAGAGGGGGTGGGGCTGCAGGGTGGGGGAGTAATTGGTGAACCCAGGGTGAATGAAATAATTGGAAAAGTGAGGTGTGAGTTTGTTACCGAAGTGTGAGCGTGGTGGGGGAGGGAAGGAGGGCTGTGTTTAAAAGCCCGGTATGTCCTCTTTATTCACAGCTTCTGATACAGTAATTGCTACTTTGTGGTTTCTATTATCTGCACAGTGGGGAGTGTGGTGTGCGTCTCCTTCCCCGAGCGGCAGAGTTGGTCTCAGGGAGGAGTTCCTGGGTGCCCCGTGATTTTCTTCCTCCCCAGTCCCTGGTGGCCCTGCGCAGCTTCACCCCGACAGTGGCCTAAGCTCCCAGGAGACAAAGGTTCACGCACAACTTCCTTCAAAAGCTGCTCTTAAAAACAGCTTCGTAGACCTTGCTGTCAGATAAGAACCTTAATAATGGCTGGTATTTATATATCGCTTATCTCCAAGGAGCTAAAGGTACTTCATTGATTTCTTCTCCCCCAACCTTTTTTTTTTTCTTTTTAATTCTCTTTCGATAGCTCTCTGAGATCATTAGTATTGGCCTCATATGATCCCATACCGTTATACAAGCGACCAAGCCACTCACTGTCCAGCTTTGTTCTTGGGCTGAGAGAAGCAGCCCGGATGAAAAAGACCCGGGTTTTGAGTTCCTGGGTCCATGGGACATGGGCAAGTCGCTTTTCTTCTCTGGCCCTTGGTTTTCTCATCTGTAAAACAGAGGCATGGAGATGATGTATTTAAAAAACTGCATATTGCAGGCACTCATTGGTAGCGGAGATGATGGCAGCAATGATGGTGTCTTGAAGCCTCATCCATGCATTTCAGGAAGTGTCCACAGACATTGGGAAGTTCCTTGTAAGATCTAACCCTGATCTTTCAGCTCCTCCTTAAGCTTCAGTTCTCTCTTGTCCTGTTCTTACAAGGAAGGAAGAAACCTGCTCACCGTAGCCATTTCTCTGACCCTGAAGAATAATAGGATTTCTGAAGCTTCCAGTCTTCATAGGTGGCATTTCATTTGTCATGCTGATGTCTGCCTGGAAACCCCTGACCACAACCGGGACCTCCCCAAGGCCCTTCAGCTGCCTGGGATGGGATTCCCAGCTCCCTGATCCCTGCCCACGATTCCTGGTAGATCCAGGCTGCCCTTCTGTCCCGGCTTTCCCTGCCGAACTCTCAAATGCCACTTCTGCAGGCCACGAAAGCATGGCTCCTGCAGCCGCTCCTCAACGGCGTTTTTCTCTACCTTTTAATTATTTTTCTCGCCTTTCTGTGGACCCTTAGCTGCTTACAATGCACAGAGCATCCACAGCTTGCAATGTGCTGCAGAGAGGGAGGAATTAACCTCAACAGTCTCTTTCTCTCTCTCTCTCTCTCTCTCTCTCTCTCTTTCTCTCTCACACCAGCCCCTCCCATGACCCCTTCTCCCCGTCTCACACACACACACACACACACACACACACACACACAGTCTGGCTTACCAGAAGTCTGGGCAGAGGTCATTGAGACCATCAAGGGATAGGAGATTATAGCCCTTGTGGGCAGAAGTAGAGGGTTTGCACACAGTATGGGCAGAAAGAACTGGGACTCGGTCTACCCCCACCTTGCCTGGTGGTCTTAGGGAAGTTACTGGACCCCTGGGAGTCTACACAAGGCATTCCTAGCCACCCCGCATGGAGTCTTCCTGCTTCACCGCAGACCTGACCGAGACTCAGGAAGAAAGAGGCCCCAGCTCTTGCAAGTGGCCAGCCCCCGTCCAGATGATGCAAGGGGGTTGAGTAATTGTGCAGCAGAAAGAGAGCTCGGGCATAACGTCAGACATGCCTGGATTCACATTCTAACCCTGCCGCCTGTGAGGAAGGACCCCTGGCTCCCAGAGCTGCGGTTTCTTCATCTGTAACATGGGAATGATAAGGCTAACAATAGTTCACATTAGTGCTATGTGTATTTCTTTTCACCCTCATCACCACTCTCTGAGGGTAGGTGTAATTTACCCATGGTAATGTCCACCTTCCAGGGCTACCATTTGCTTGTTCATTCATTCCAAAATACGTTCAGGCTTCTACCCTGAGCCAGACACTGGGCTCACTGCCGCAGGTCCAGTGACGAGCAAGATAGATGGGGCCTGGACTCTTGCAGAGCTGAGCCCTAGCCCCGGCCAGGGAAGGCAGAGAAGTAAACAGGCATGCACCCCACAGACCCCTGGTCAGGGAGCACAGTGAGCGGTGACACTGTGGATGGGGACAGTCACCCCAGCCTTGAGGGGTTGGGAAAGACATCTCGGGGCTAGTGCAGTTAGGTGAGGCCAAGGCAGGGATGGAGGAACCAGCTCTCGCAGTGGCTGTCTGTGGCTGTGTTGAGAAAGCAGCCAGCCTGGTTTTCCCTGTGCCTCTTAGTTGCCTCATACCAGCTCTGAATGCTCTCAGGCTCCTGCCCCTTAGCCACCGGATGTGCCATCCCTGCGGTGCCGGTGGCCTTCTGAAGACCTGGACCCAAAGAACCATTCTTCTGAATGAGCTTACAAGAAAATTTGTCCATGCCCTGCCCTCCCTGTTCAAAGCCAGCATGGCAGAGGGGCTTGGGTGGAGGGAAGAGAGACAGTGTCTGTCATGGGACGCATCCGCCTTTAGGTGGCAGAATGAAGCAGGGGTTGTGGGCTTGACTCCTCAGCTCTCCAACCTCACCTTGTCCCCACCTGCCCAGCCTCTGGTCCCCAGTCCCGGCTCCCCTCCAGCAGGGAAACCTGACCGGGCTCCACTCCCCACATTCCTGGCTCCTTCCCCTCCTTGGGAGGGTGGCCTTGTCACCAGTGCATCTCTGTTGTTTTTCGTTGCCCACACAGAGGAGGCACCAGGAGGGGGGAGCAGAGCTGCTGGGGAGAGCTCTGAGGAGACGTGCAGATTCATTTTGAGGATTCATAATGCCGCATTTACACACCGTCCTGCCTTCAGAAATTGGGTTGGCAGATGCCTGGTCATGCTGACAGGGCTGTGGGTTAACGCTTTGGATTTAGCTTATATCATTTCATGAGAGCTTACGGCCTTTACTGTGTTTTTTACCCAATCGGTCTTTGGCCCCAAAGCATCCTAGACCATCGTGCGTATGTGTGTGTGCCCAGGCGGCCGAAAGTGTGTGTAGATTTTCAAATAAAATAATACCTCTCTTCAGATGCCGTGCACATTAAATATTTATCAGCAGCAATTTGTACGTATATATTTGATAAATGGACATTAGGAAAAGATTGGGGGGTGGGAAGTGAGACAGGGAGGCAAGGAGGCCTGAGAAAGCCCTATCCCTTTGTCCTACAATTTCTCAAAGGTTTAATCTGGAGGAGAGGAGAGGAGGGAACCAGGGGGGATGGTCCAAGGCTGTGGTTACCGGTTTGATCCCTGTCAGGAGAAGCCAACCCATTTTCTTCTCCAGAGCTTTGCCTGACTTTGGCTTGGAAGATATCGAAATGAAAGCTCAGAGGGAGGGGAAGCAGGGTTTAGAGGGAGTCGCTGTGTGTCATTTGAGCGCTAAAGAAACACATGTCCCAAACGTCCCAGGTCCTGGAGAAGGGGCCCCATCCCATTTGCTCAGCCTGGGGTCGCCATGTGCTCAGCTCAGACATAGAGGCAGTTTGGAAAGGTCAGGCAACCCTGCTGGTCCCATGTCCAGAGCCCCGACTCGCACACATGGGCAGCACCTTGACCTGCCCAGGCCCCCCAACCTGAGCCTGGCTACTTGTGTACTAGGCAGGGTCCTCCCCAGTGCATAGTTACCCCACAGGGAAGTGGGGCCCCATGGGGGCAGAGAGTCTCTAGCTGGTTGCAGAGGAACTGAAAATTCTCCATTCACATCTCCAGCCCGATTGTTCCCTCCCTGCCCTGCTTGATGGCCCGGGCCTGGGAGAAGGCCGCTCGTGCCCCTGAGCTGACACGTGCGAGCGTCTGCGTGCCTGCATGCACTTGTCTTTTATAACCCAAAGGGATTTACGTGTGAGAATCAGTCCTGCCTTCCCGACCTCACTTGCAGGCCTCTAGTCTTAAACCCCTATATCTTGCCTTTTGTTTTTAGCACCTTTGGGGAGTTGAAGACGGTCCGCCTGCCAAAGAAGATGACCGGGACAGGCACACACAGAGGCTTCGGCTTTGTGGACTTCCTCACTAAGCAGGATGCAAAGGTGAGACCGTGGCTCCCTTCCCCACCTGTCCCGGCCTCCCCTTTCCAGGACCCGTTATAGGAGAGGCAGCCAGGCCTCTAACACACAGAGTCACCTCCTCATGCAGGTGTTCTCTTTTTGCCTTTGATTCTGCTTAATGTGTACAACATCCTTGGAGAAGATCCTGGGGATTTTGTATTCGGAGGAAGAAGCAGTTTCTGTGTCCCCCTTCCCTCCCCCTGTTTCATGTATGCAGGAACCTGGGACATAAACTGGGGATGGGAAGCAAATGCGTTTCCCAGGCCTCTCCAAGTCATCAAGAAAATTCCTCAGTTCAGGTGGCCCCGTGGGGTAGGCAGCATGGGAAATGCCACACAGAACAGTGCGGAGAGGGCAGAGCACTTGGAAAGGAGAGTAAGAGGCACCCAAGAAGCAGCCAAGGGAATGCATCTTTCCCTTCCTTTCTTCTGCTCATGGCCGGGGGTTCTGTTTTGTGCTGGTTGTCTGTGAGGGCACCCCCGGCAGGTGCAGCTGCATGGAAGCGTGTGTACCGAAATCCCTCCAGGCTCCTTGAGAACCTTTTATTTTTTAAGCAAGGTGGCATCTCCAAATTGGTTCAGTGCAGCACAGCCAGGCTTTGCTCCTGCAGTGGGTGCTGGGCCCAGCCGCCGATGTGGGGCAGAGGCTGTGTGAACAAGGGCCCGGCTGTACCCAAAGCCACTGCCCTCGTGGCACCGAGCTCCAGATCAGAATCCAGAAGGAAGGTAGTGGCAGAGCTGTCACAGTGGGCTGCCTTCCGTGAGCTCTGCCCGCAGGCGACCTGTCCCCTCTCAGCCTCGCTGTTCCTCAAGGCTAAAATAAAGTGACAGGGAGGTCTCATTAATGGCTGGGATCCCCTCCACCTCTGACGAGCTGTTCCTCAGAAGAACAGTGAACATTTCCTGGAATCACAGCCATTGGGCTTTAGCAGTCTGGCATCACAAGAGGCCCAGGGTGTGGGTCAGCTGTGCAGAACCAAAGGTGGCAGCTCCGGGACACAGCTGCGGCCTTTGTGGGCCCTGGGAACACACACAGGCAGAGAAGGTGCACTGGGACCCTCGGAGAGCCTCGCCAGCCACCTTTGTCTCTGAGTCTTGAGCTCAAGTGCCTGTTTTGTTGACACATGGCCATATTTGTCCAGACATCTGCTCCTCTCTCCTCCTGGCTGGCAGCCTTTCCCTCGCCTCACGTCAGGGACAGCAGGGAACCCACCTTGCATGCAGCAGGTCACGGCCCTCACCCTCACAGCGGGGCAGGCACGTGGTGCCCTGCATTGGCTCAGGGTAGCAGCAGAGGGCTGCCTTTCAGAGCTCCCACCCGTGGCAGCTCAACCCACACTGGCCTTCCCTGTGCCACAGTTTTCTCATCTGTGAAACGAGAATGATGGCTGCGCCCTCCTCCCAGGGTTAGAGCAGGTGATGCATGGGAGACACTGACTCGGTCCTGGCATGTGGTGGGCACTCGATACTGGTACACCGTTTCCTTCTCAGAGCCACCCTTGGTCCACGGATTCATGCCCACATGTGGTGCTCTGTGGACAGAACAGAGTACAGGGCAGCATCTTTTCTCCACTGCATTCCACTGAGCTCTGGGTGCCTGAAGGGATTGGGCAGTGATGGTGTAGAAGAAGTGTTGTCATCTATCTTATATCAGAGTTCCTGTAGGAGGCTGTGCCTGGGGGAGAAATGAGGGATTCACTCTCTGCTCCTCAGAAATGTCTCTTACAAAGACCAGTGCGAGAGCTTGTCATTACAGCACAAACTTCAAAGCCAGACTGCCTGAGTTTGAACTCCAGGGCTGCCACGAATCTCCCGTGTGACCTTGGGCAAGTGACATCCTTTCTGTGTGCCTCAGTTTCCCCCCTCATAAAATGGTCATAGGGTTTTCCATATTTTCATAGAGTCATCGTGAGGTTTGAATGGGGTGATGATTTAGAAAAGGGCCTGGCCACTGTGTACTGGCTGTTGGCTGTGATGAGGAGATGGAAGGTGGCAGTGATGACAATGGTGGTGGTCCGAAATAAGAAAGGGTTTTCCCCTTCTTATTTGGCCACCCACTGGGCCTCTTTTCTCACCCATCCACTGGACCTCTTGTGATGCCAACCTTTAAAGCCCAATGGGTGCTCCTCCAGGAAACGCTCACTGCTTTTCTGAGGAAGAGCTTGTCAGAGGTAGAGGGGATTCCAGCCATTGATGAGAGCAGAGCGCAAAGGCACTGGAGCCCCTCACTGGAAGCCCTCCTTCAGCACCCAGAGGTTCATGCCGGGTTGACACAGCCCTTGGGACATGGAGGGTCCAACCAGGGCGGGCGCCAGCCGTGAGCCCTTTGACATGTCACCGTTGGCTCAGTTTTGCTCGTCAGCTTTATTAGGACAGAAGGTGGACTCCCAGGTAATCGGGGCAGAGCGTGCCACTGAGGAAGTTCACCTAGCACCCAGGGGTCCCGTGCTTGCCACCCCTGGGCCCGGCTGCGGATGTTCATTCTGAAGCCCAGCACAGCCCTCTAGTGATTTATGGAGGTGGCAGCTCCTCCCCCTCCATCCCTTGCCTGCCTTTACTCCGGGCTCCGGGAGGAGAAAGGGCAGCCGAGGACAGTACAGGCTCAACTCACAGCCTCTCAAGGATTGGCCCTTCTCCCTGTCAGGCGGCTATTTCTGGCCCCTCCATCCCTGTAGCAACTCTTCCCTCTCCCACACTGGGGCTTGTGCCACGGAACGCAGTGGTCTGCCAGGAAGGAGGAGCCCATCACAAGCACATCTTTCCTGCAAGGATCCCTTTGCTCTTTTTGTTTCCCGGGGAAGCTGCCATTGCTTTCTCCCTCCCCGCTCCAGGTCTGTCTGGAGAACTTTATTGTCTTCTGAGTGGAACATTTAGCACTCTCCACTGACCCGTAGAATCGTGCACACTGCATATTAGTGAATAGGATTCTGAATATTGTAAATATCTAGTTAGCTCGAGGGTGGGCGTGAGTTTGAAGAGGGAGAGCAGTAGTGCCAGAGACATGGAGTCAAAAGCATTGGTGATCTTTTTTATCTCAGCAGAAGGAATTTAGTGAGAACCCAGGGCTGGTAGAGGAGCCTCCATGATTCCAGCCTCTCAGGGCCAGCTCCCATGCATCCTCCCCGTGTCAAAGCTCTTAGGGAAGGAGACTTCCTTCAGAAACCCTTCCCAGGGTTCAGTTGAACCCTGACCCACTCAGATCCCCCGCCAAGGGCACAGATCCCATTTCCTGTCGTGGCACCCTCAATGAAGATAAATAGTCGCCCCCTGTGTTGGCATCGGCCACCTCTTGAGCCAGGAGGTCTACCCCAAGCAATCCTCAGATGGGAGGAAAGAAGGGAGGGATAAGTTGAAAGGAGGGGGCAGCTCAGCTCATTGTAGAAGCTGATGCTGGAAAAGGAATGGAGAAATGGATGGTTTCTCGGAGGGGCCAGTGCTGCGGCTTGAACCTCGATATCACGACTCCCAGAACAGTGCCCTTTCCCCATCATCCATCAGTCCATTTGCCCGCTGGCAGAGGATAGAAGAATTAAGGCATCCCCTCAACACCGCAGTCCTTGCTGTGGCCCTGAGCACATGCCGTCTCCACTGTCCCTGAACTGAGGGGTTCTGAGTTGTCTGACCTTTCTCCATGAGACCCACGTCCCACTGTGCATATCCTCGAGGGCTCTGTGATATCCATCAAGCCCCTTCTGGATTAAGCACACATACCCCCAAACTGGAAAGAGAATCCTAGCAAGAGGCTCCTCGAAGGCTGTTGTGGCAGAGCTCAGAGTAACCAGGCAACTGATGATAATAGCAAGAGGCTCCCACGAGCGTGCTGGCTTTGTATGTGACATTCACCGCACTCGCACTGCCCCACCCTAAGCTCCAGCAGCCCCAGCATCAGGCGGGAGATTTGCATCCAGTCTCCCTCCTCAGTCTTGCTGAGCATTTGCTTAGCTCTAGCGCTGAAGCAACCGTGGAGCCCTATGAATTGATGGGAAGCCCAGACCCTGGTCTGTTACTGAGCTGCTCCGGTGAACCAGGGGTGGGTCTTGACCATCTGCCCTCGTCACGGGCCCTGGTGACCAGAGGCCTGCTCAGAGGAAGCAGGATCGATGAGCTGGCATATTCTCCCAACCTAGGACATTCTATCAGCCCCTGATGTCCCGGGCAGTAAATGTCAGTCCCTCTGAAAGTGCTGGTGTTATCTAAACCTCCAGGTGTGATGATCTGGCATTTCTCAAGAGCCTTCCCCACGTGTGGAGGGAAGCAGGGGACAGAGGTTGATGGAGGAAGGAGAATGGGGGTGGCATAGGAAGTCAGTGGTCTCCTGGGGGGCCTGGGGCTACACCGTGTACACAGCTGTCAGTTGTGTTATCAGCGCCACGCAACCAGGGGAACACACCACCTGAAAGTTTCTAAAAGGGCAATATCTTTGAGTTGATAAAAACTGTCAACTCTGGAAGCCCGTCTTTGGCAGAGACGGTGCAGGACATTTGCATATATAAGTTTTAATCCTCACGGGACTCTAGGAGATAGGTGATAGGAAGCCATTTGATGACTGGGGAAACCAAGGCTCAAAGGGACAGAGTTGCTTGCTCAAGATCATATAGCGGTACTTGGCAGAGCTGGGAAAAATCTAAATCCAAAGCCTGTATCCAGGGATTCCTCCTCCCTTCGTTCACTGATTCACTTAAATTCTGTGTATCTCCACACCAGGCTCTGGGTAGCGCCTCTTCTCCCTACCATGCCCACCATCTCTCACCCAGCCCTGACACCTCACCAAGGAGAAGGACTCTCAAATTAGAGGGACACTTTGGAGGAAGGCCAAGAGATTGTCCCTTAGAACGTCTCTTGGGAACAAGTCCAGAATGAAATCAACTCCTCCCAGCCCCCAGAGGAGGAGTGGGCATTCAGTGAGCTGTCCCCACTAGCACACACTACCATGCTGCCTTCAAACCCTGCCAATCCCCAGGAGTAGCCTCACTGAGGAGGCAG